AACCCTATACAAAGTTGCTATGAACCTACTTGAAGGTATATAACAACAACAACAGGTGCCTCAGGGGAAGCTAGTGGCATTATAAATAAGATAAACTCTGGACTTTAAACCAGAGGTCAGCAGTTCAAACCTACCAGCTGTTCATCAGAAACACTATACAGGGTCACTATGAGTCATTTGCATTAGGCAAATCTGCTGCACAGGAACTTTTTAAAGTGTTGAAGAGCAAAGATGTCACCTTGAGGACTAAGGTGTGCCTGACCTATACCATGGTATTTTCAATAACCTCATATGGATGCAAAAGCTGGACAGTGAATAAGGAAGATCATAGAATTGATGCCTTTGAGTTGTGGTGTTGGAGGAGAATACTGAGGGTGCCATGGACTGCCAAAAGAAACAATAGATCTGTTTTGGAAGAAGTGCAGCCAGAGTGCTCCTTGGAGGCCAAGATGGCTAAGCTTCGTCTCTCATACTTTGGACATATTGTCAGGAGGGAACGTCGCTGGAGAAGGATGTCATTCTGGGTAAGATGGAGGGTTGGAGAAAAAGAGGAAGACCCCTAATGAGATGGATTGGCCAGGTGGCATCATTGATGGTGTCAAGTGTGGCAGCAATATTGAGGTTGACCCAGGATCGGACATTGTTTCATTCTGCTGTGCATGGGGTTGCTATGGGTTGGTTCCAACTCGATGGCACCTGACAACAACAACAATGAGTCAGGATACACTCGACAGCACTTAGCAACAACAACAAGCCAGAAGAATAAACAACTCTGTGCTCTTAAAACTACAGCCAGAATGCTTCTTAGATGTGAGCATTGCCGAACATCATCTCATACCTTTTGGACATGGAGACCCTGCAGAAGGACATTATACTGGTAAAGTAATGAGTCAGTGAAAAATGCAAAGTCCCTCAAAGTGATGGGCTGGCATAATGGCTACAACAATGAGCTCAAATATAGGAACAATTGTGAGGATGGTTCAGGACCAGGAAGTGTTTCCGTCTGTTATGCATAGAATCAATGTGAGTCAGAACTGACTTGACACACCTAGCAACACCAGAAGGTCTGTGTGGTTGTAACATGGTGGATTATGAGGAACATGATGTGAGATGAGGGTAGAAAGCAGAGTACCAGACCATGTGTAGTTGTATAGTGTTTGGTTTTATTATAGGTACAATGGTGCTGCAAAAATTGTCTTTTAAAGTATTAAAAAGCAAAACTGTCACTTTGAAGACTAATGTACACCTGACTCAAGTCATGATATTTTCAGTAGCTTCATATGCATGTGAAAGTTGGACAATGAATAAGGAAGACCAAAGAAGAATTGATGTATTTGAGTTATGGTGTTGGAAAAGAATATTAAAAGTACCATGGACTACCAGAAGAGCAGACAAATCAATGTTGGAAGAAGTATATTCAGAATGCTTCTCAGATGCTAGTATAATGAGACTTCATCTCTCATACTCTAGAAATACATTCAGGAGGAAACAGCCCCTGGGGAAGGACATTATGCTTGGTAAAGTGAAGAGTCAGATAAAAAGAGGAAGACTCCCAATGAGATGGATTAGCACAGTGACAGTAGCAATGGGTTCAAGCATAACAATGATTGTGAGGATTGTATATGACCAGGCAGTTTGTTCTGTTGTGCATAAGGATGCTATGAGTTAAAACAACAACAATGGGAAGTCAGTGGAAGGTTTTAAGTAATGGAGTAGCAAATCTTAATAACTTCATTTTGCCTATATTAAAATGGATCAAAAAAGGCAAAGTGAGATCAGTTATTCAAAGTTATTTCTGGACAATGTAGAAATGGGCTGATTTCAGCCATGTTCCATAGACTCCCCTTGACCTGGAGATGAGAAAGAGAAGAGGAAGGGCTGGTTGGTCCCAAATGTGTGAGACCTGAGGACTCCTGAGCCCATGGACAAGGACATAGCCACAGAGGGCTAGAGCAGAGAGTGAAGCATCCAGCTGATATGAAGTGAAGGGAGATGCATAAGAACACCCAAACTTGCAGATAGTACCCATCTGACTTAACCTCGATGGCTTAATAATCAGAACTCAACTAGAGGAAGATTTAAAAGAAAAAAAGTTGATAAAGGAAACGAGGGTAAATTACTCCAGTTTGATCAACTTGACCTATACTCGTGAATGTAGTAGCTCAAAATACCAACAGAGAGGGAAGGAGTTTTTACATCAAGTATCAAGTACCTGGTATACCCTCTGTATACAGGGTAGATAGGGACGGACAACTTCAACATTGGCTACCTAAAATGAGGAGGCAATAAAGGCACAAAATGACTGGCTTACAAGTTTTCAAGATGAAGTTTAGTTTAAGAGTGTGCGGGGGAAGATAGAGTCTTCACTGAATAGTTTTCATCCTGTCTAGATGGGTCTGGTGAAAGAGATGGGGATAAGATTATTATGATTCAGTAGTGAATACTTGTTATCCTGACTAATTGTGACTGTTAAAATTATAAAGGTAGAAGTTTTGTAACAAAAATGGGGGTGTAGTTAATCTTATAGTCCAGAAACAGAGGACCCTAGGACCAGTAAGGGAGAAGAGCACAAGCAGAATGTGAGACCCTATCCAAAGAAGCACCAACACCAGAGATGGAGGCAGAGATGGGGACATAGAGAGAGGGAACAGCTGAGGACCCTAGATTTATGGAAAGAAAGGGACTGAGTGCTGGCAGCCAGGAGGCAGGCTTGTAGAATGTGCCCTTTGGTGGCTTAAATAATTATATATGCCTGAGTGTTTAAAAAATAAATAAAGGAGCTAAAAATGAATACTGTTAACTGATAGTACATGGAGGTGATTATAATCATTATAATGATTATAATTAAAGTATATGATTTGTTGAATATAAAACTGATGATATGCCCTATGAACTTTTACTCAATTCACAATAAAAACTTAAAAATGAAAGTTATTTTTGGAAATGGAGACAACATGGCTAGATATGTGATATGTTCTGGATATAGACAACAGGTCTTACTGACAAATTGGATATGAAACAAGAGGACAAGAGAATTCCAGCCAAAGCCCTAGGTTACAAATTTTAGTTACTACTTAGATAATAGTACCATATTCTGATTTATGGAATAATGGCCACCGGGTACAATTTTTGTGGATAAAGATAAGGATTCAGTTTTGTCTGTGGTAATTTTGAGAGAACTCTTAGCCATTTTAAATGTAAATCATCTAGTTAAATATTTGAATCAGTATTTCCAGGAAAAGTTGTGGGCTAGAGACACAGGTTTGGGAGTAAATGGGATATAAGTGACCTTGACATCACTTAGTGGACAATATGTAAACAGAGACAACAATGGGGTCTTAACAGAAAGAGTACCAGGACAATTGGTATGTAAATATAGAGCAATAAGAGAGAAGCAGTTGGACAATAAACTGTTTTAAAAGAAAGGGATAAGGATTCTGCTAAATGCTGATAACAACTCAAATAGGCTAAGAACAGAGACATGATGACCATTGGATTTAGCATGAGGAAGTTATTAGCATTTTTTTATAAGAGAATATTTACAGGAGTGTTGAAGAAGAAATGAGTTAGAGTAGGTTACAGTGAGACTGTGAACTGAATGATAACATATAGTCTATCCTTGAAGGAGTTTTTCTGTGAGGGAAAGATCATGTGACATCAAGTGAGGCTTTAGAGTTTGTTCCTTCTTCTTTGTTGTCACTTAGCATAAGAAAGTAACTTATCATTTCCTATTCTCCTCCCATCAAAAATTTTATTTTTTGTTCCAATATACACATGATCTGAAAGTCATACATATTACATACAAAATACATGCTCAAAAATAGGTAATTTACTTATAAATGTGTGTTAGTTAGCATTTCTATATAAATCATCTTTAGTCCCACAACCCTGCTCCTGCATGAAAATATATATATTCCTTTTCCAATAGTCAGGTATTGTTGTTGTTGTTAAGTGCCATTGAGTTGGTTCTGACTTATAGCAACCCTGTAGGGTTTCTGAGGAGCGGCTGGTGGGTTTGAGTAAAAGTTCATAGGGTAATGACTTTGTGGTTCAAACCAACCTTCCAGTCCAATGCGTAATCCTGTGGTGCCATACCAGGACTCCAGTCAGGTATTAGAGTGCTAATTTGAATAATGCTTCGTGTCTTAAACATACTGTTTTAATATTCATTAGGAAATTAATTATCTAATATATTGGAAAACAAACATGGGTAGAGTCACTGTGATTCTTTTGTTACTGAGAGAAAAAAATAAATACTGATGCTGCTAACTGGCTCTGTGAAGGCAAGAGGAACCTTCTAGCTCTTTAGTCTACATCGTATGCTTGGCTGAGATGACGTTTTCAAATCCCTTCTGATGCCTTCTTCCAAGTGGTCCCTTTTCCTGTGCCTCTGCACTGCCAGCCATCTGACATGTTGCCTGTTGCTTGGCAGCCTGACATAAGGTAGCACAATTGTTCTGCCAAAAAACAGCCTTTAAAAAATACACACATAAAGCCTTTTGTAGCAACTTTTAAGGATGTATTTTCTTTTCCATCTGATACCAACAAAAAGAATGTATAGTTCTTTCAGAGGTGTTGTTGTTGTTAAGTGTCGTAGAGTCAATTCTAACTCATCGCAACCCTGTATAAGGTTTCCAAGGAGCAGCTGGTGAGCTTGAACCACCGACCTTGCAGTTCAAACGACTTTGCAGTCTGACACATTAGCCCACCACACCACATGTGGACGAAGCAAAAAGCCAAAGTGTAATACTAACAGCAAATAGTATATTGCATTAAAAAAAATACTTTGTAGTCCACTGGGCTCTGCCTTAACTGAAGGTGTCTGTTTCATTGAAAGATGTCATGAACTGCTAACCCTTTCAAAGACTATTCAGTATATTACAGCATAAAATATGTCTTGCCATGAATTTTCTGAGAGGGGGAGGGTAACATGACTGGCAGGGAAACCCCAGCATGACAGTATTGATTCTAAGGCAGTGTTTCTTCTCTTGGCTTTATAGATGGTGTCAACACTGCTGCTGAGCCCACCCCTGCTTCAGAAGGAACTCTTCAAGTCTACAATGATGAAGGTATGAGGCTACTTACTACATTTCAAATAACAAACTCTTAAAAAAGGGCCATTCGGATTTGTTTTATAGAGCAAAATGACTCAGGGAGTAAATCTAATTTTCTTTGTTACTGCTGTTGTTAACTGCCATTGAGTCAGGTTTCCAAGAGAGGCTGGTGAGTTTGAATCACTGACCTTGTGATTCAAGCTACCTTTCAAACCAGGGCTGTATCCTACAGGTCACATAAACATCTCTATTTCCAACACAAACAAATAACTCACCCACTAAGTTTCCATCATTAGCCTTTTCAAATTTTATATATGCATTTATATTTGTTTCTATTGAAAGTAAGTATGAAATAAGGCAAGTGGTCAGAGAAATTATGTTTAGAAAAGATGTTTATTCAAATTACTAGAATCAATTGGTTCTGCCATTTAGAGCTACTCTTAGGAACCCCTATACAGGGTCGCTATGGGTCAGAATCGATTCGATGGCAGTCAAAAACAACAAAAACATCAGGAATCAGTTTAAAAAAGTGGTCTTTAGGGGCCACCTACTAGAGATCTTAATTATCCAAGACATAACAAGAAGGCAGAAATGTTGGAAAGGGATTGTTAGAAATATAGTTTTGGCAAGAGCATTATTCTCCATTCAGTGGGAAAATGTTGCTGACCCAAGTATCCCCAGAAGAAGGAAAATGTAAAGGAAAATCTTACTTTCAGGAAAAAATGCAAGGGAAAAATATTGAAGACATCATTTTGAGGTTACTGCTCTTGTGTTCTGCTGAGTTGATTCGGACTCCTAGCCACCCTGTAGAGGGTTTCCTTGGCTATAAATCTCTACAGGAGCAGAAAGCCTTGTCTTGCTCCTGAGCAGTCGCTATTGAATTTGAATTGCCAACCTTGCAGTTAACAGCACACCACCACCAGGGCTTATAAAATATATTATCTGAAGAAAAGTCAAATAATCCTTTCTTTTTTTTTTCATTCTAATTAAGTGGCAAGTCTCTATACAAAAATGTGTTAGTATTTTAGATTGTATTTTATCTGTCATTGGTGTCAGAATAGATAGTTGTATTTGTACAGATATCTGTGTTTGTTTTTAACTTTTTATTGTGTAATGAGTGAAGGTTTACAGACAAGATCATCAGCTTTAAATTCAACAAATTATACACTTTGTTTCATCTCAAGGATTGCAATCCCCTCCCTTCCTGCTGTGGTTCCTATTTGCATTCCACCTACCTTCCCATCCCTTCTGATTTTGTTCTTAAATAAATGTTGCCCTGTTGATTTTGAATGATTGACCATATCATGGTGAACATATCTTACTAGTGTTGTTGTCCCCTGCTGTAAACCTATCTACTACTTGGATGAAGATTTTGGCATAAGGGTGAATTCCTTTCTAGACCTGTTTTATAAGCCATGCAATGTAGTTGAAACTTTTGGGAAAATATATTGAATGCATTACTTTATCTTAAACTGATATATAAATAGGTTTATACTTGCCATGATATTTCCTACTTGTTAAATTGGTGTTTAGATGATCAGTCTTGGAATTTTAGTGTTTTAGTATCTGCATCATTGTTTCATGTTACCTTGTAATTTTTTTTCTTTCTTTGTCTAAATGGTGTGTTTTGTGTAGTGAGGAGAGTTGCTAAACAGTGTGACTTATGAAGCCACTTGTAAATTCTGGCTCGGACAATCACAATTTCTGTGACCTCTGATAAGGATTTCAGGAAATGACAAGTAGTGATAAAGTATTCATATTCAGTTTTCTCTGTAAAATGGGCATAATAGTGTGGATTCACCTCACAGAACACAATTGTTATTGTTGTTACGTGCCTTCGAGTCAGTTCCAACTTATAGCTACCCTGTAATACAGACCAATTTATGAAACTGGTTACCTGGCTCATATGCAGTTTGTGTTTCCCAGAAGACAAATTGTGATATGGGATTAGAGAGCAGATGTTTATTAAGGCAGTGTCTTTAGGCTGGGCTATTTAAAGGAGTGAAACCATACCCCATACAGTTGTGGTGGTGGGCAAATCTCAAATCTTCGGATTCGGCATCAGGATGGAGGCTTCTCCTGACCCGGTGATGCAGGGGCTGACAAACCCTTAAGGTCAGATGGCAGGCTGCTATTTCACAAGGCTGTGGGAGCTGGTATATTCCAAAATCTGTAGGTCAGATGGCTGATTGCTGGCTGATGTTCCAAGCATGAAAGGTCCAAGAGATTATGACTCAGAAGCAGGCTACAGAGACAGTAAACTTTGTGAGAATATCCATATATATTAGAATGTAAGTCACATACCTCACTCCAAATTCCCATTTTGCTTGTTTGGTTAATCACATCAGATCACAGAATACAGGATGATTACAAAATATCTTCCAAACAACTGAAATCCATAGCCTAGCCAAGATGTTTCATTACCTTAACCATCACAGGAGGGACCTTGAATAAACAAAACACCCGTGAATGGAAACGGGCCTGGGTAGAGGGAGAAGCTGAGATGCAATGCATTCTCAAAGGAAACCTCATTTGATTTTATGGGAGCTCTGAAGATGACAGGACACTTACCAAATGTGCCAGATGGGATGGAATACATGGCAATTGAAACCTTCTACTGATAAGTCATTTGATACCCCCTGGCATGTGAAAAGGTGTGGTCTTGTTTGAGGGAACTGTTTTCCATTGAGGCAGTCTTGAAAGCTGGCGATGCAAGAGGACTGTCTAATGTGAAAACTGAAAGAATAAATTCTTTATTCCTGAAGATGGATTTACCACATTGGTAGTTCTTTTCTTGTTCATTGCCACTGTTTCAAAGAATCATGTGACACCTTCCTCCATAATTCTCAAATCAATGTTCTGACATCCCTGGTTTAGAAACCATTTGATATATTGAAAAATATAACTGATGTCAGATACTAACATAGGTTCTGATAAGGAGCTCTAAGGTCAATGTACAGAGAGAGAAATAAACCTGGTACATTTAGAGTGGAAAGACATGAAGTAGTGTTTATTTTAAGTGGAGTATTTTGTGTATTCTAATCATTTAGCTTGTGATGAAAATGTTTAAGTGTCATGAAGTCACATAATGGAGTTTAGGAAACAAGAGCAAGAGATTATCTAATTTAAATGCTTTCAGCTGATATTTTCCCCTGTGGAGTTGTTTGGTTCAAAGACATCACACCTTTACAGAAATACGCTGTGATGTGTGTTGATGCTTTTAGGATCTCACACCATTAATTGTTCATGCCAGCCTCAATTCCTTAGAATTCTTTAAGAAAAAAAATTTTTTTAATAAAACTTTTCATGGTGGTAGCGCCAGTGAGGACATCTGTCATATTTCATAAATGCGGTTCCCTCATAATACTAAATGTGAAGTTCTAAGGATTTTATAGAAATAAATTATTACTATCTATTTACCCTTTTTCTTTCGGTAAAATAAGTGTTTTGAAATTCATATTAGTATGCAGTCTAATTTCAATTAAAATAGAGCATTTTGCATTTCATTCAAAAGTAGCATGTACAGAAGAGTACTGTTTAAAATTGATTATCAGTTCAACTTAGGATAAATGTTTAATACAAATGGAAATGCTGTCTTGACTGACAGATGCAATGTTTAGGATGAAAAAAATGTCAGATGTCATTGAAATCCTCCAAGATTGAGGTCAGGTTGAGGTTAAAATGCAGTCATAGTGTTGAGGATTCATTTCAAATATTCTCTTTCATTAGCTTCCATGCAGAAATATCTCTTGCTGGTGACATCAGTACTATTTATAAGCTCTACATTGCGAGATCACTTATAGAAAGGCGTATACACCCTCCAATGTAAGAGGCAGGACATTTTTGCTGATCAGAGATCCTAAAAGAGTCCTTTGTTTTCAGTCTTTGGTCCTGATCCAATATCTTCTTCCTGGAACCTGGAATCACTACTGTACTTTTATACAAATAATGTGTGTGTTATACATGAAAATCAGATGTGAATATATGAAAACACTATGGTCTCCCTTCTCCCCTCCCTCTCTCTTTCCTATATAATTTCCAAGGAATGTTTTAGGTTCTTGTAGTTATTAACAACTTTGCTTGCTAGTTGGCATTTGTCATAACTTTGATTTCCGTTAAAACTTCCTAAAAGTTTTGTAGTGAAAGTATTAGAAAAAAGCAAACAAATGAAAAATGAGCTGGCTAATGTATAGTTATTTGTTGTTGTTTTTAAGTGCTATCAAATTGGTTCTGACTCATAGTGACCCTGTATAGAGTTTCAGAGGAGTGGCTAGTATGTTTAAACTGCTGACCTCAGGGTTAGCAGTCTAGGATTTATCGTATAGCACCACATCAGTACTCCTACCTTTGTTTGTTGTTGTTGTTAAGTGCCTTCGAGTCGGTTCCAACCCATAGCGACCCTGTACAGGGTTTCCGAGGGTGTAAATCCTTATGGGAGTAGAAAGCCTCATCTTTCTCCCGCGAAGCAGCTGGTAGTTTCGAACTGCTGACCTTATGGTTCGCAGCCCGATTCGTAACCACTACGCTACCAGAGCTCCTTCCTACCTTTGTTTAGGGAGATGAGATTTAAATATATAAAAATTATTCTGTGATGAAATTCAAAAGGCAGTGTCATATTCTGGGGTACCTTCTATGACAATTTTGCTCAAATTTTCTGCACTTTTTTTTTTTAACAGGAACTAAGAACAGGTATACATTGCTAACTTACTACATGTAATTACTGACAGTACAATCTGCTAACAGGAGGAGAGACAGCTGTTTGGTTTATGCATCAAGACCTAGATTCTGTTCTACAAGCTGAGGATACTTGTTCCTAGTGACTCAGTACAGTCAATGTATAGACAGGAATTTATTTGGGAGGATGTAATATGAGAGGGAAGAAGAATGTTGATGAATAATTCATCACATGGAGTACAAGCTAAGGATATAGCAACCAGAACTGAACTGAAATTATCTCCAAGGTAAAATTGGCCTGGGAAAACATCTTTGGGTTGATAGGCTATCTGAGCTTATTG